GGTCAGGTGTACAATGGGGCCCCGCTGGCAGCAGCCGGGCAGCGAGCTCACCGTGCTGACAAGAGGCACTACTTCCCACTCTGCACCAGGTTGAAGATGGATGATGTTTCCTGGGAGGATGAGCAAGGACCAGCAGTGGGCAGGGAAAAGCGAAGTGTCTAACCATGCATGAGTCACTAAATACTAGATTTCCCCACATAACAGACTTTGGCCTGGATGATGGGCACATCCTCCTCCATCTGACAAAACCTGTTTGACCAGGTGAAGACACCATGTCATGCGGCAAAAAGTCACACCATACACCTTTGCACCGTGCTTTGAGAAGAGGTTGCTGATACAAGACTGCCTCGTTTGTAGGGGCCCATCCTCTCAGTCTTAAAAGCCTAAAGAGCACTACCACACCTTCTGTTTGTCTAAAGATGGGGCAGTCATTTAATAGTCCAAGTAAAGCAGCAGGAATAGGAAAGGGTTTTGGCACACTAACTTCCTCTCTGTTGGAAGCAGGAGCATCAGCTTCCTAAAATAAACACTTTCACTTTACTCTCACACTGCTCCTGCTCTCTTGTAACAACAGTAACTGACCAGGCAGTGAATGGACACTGGACACTCTGTTCAGTGGCAATACCAGAGAGAAACCAAAGACATACCCATCTTGATGGACAGAAAAGTCATTGTTCCCAAGTGGTTTGTAAAATAGGAAACACCTTTGTGTGTGACAAAACCAACAGCTGAACAGTTATGACGTGTATAGTAATGGAGTGAGGAATCGGACGAGGATTGACGCGGCTAGTTTGGCTCCTAGCTTGTTTGAGATGGATCAGAGGATGGCATAGGCAAATTTGGGTCTGATGTGGGGAGGAGTAACTAGAGGGCTGGCTGGTATAAAGTTTTCTGGGTCTCCTAGGAGGTTGGGGGAGAATGTACAAGTAGGGAAAGTATTGGTGCAAATCCTAGAATATCTTTTATAGCATAGTATGGATGGAAGGGGATTTTGTCGCAGTCTGAGGGGATGCCTAGTGGGTTGTTTGATCCTGTTTTGTGGAGGAAGGTGAGAGGGACAAGTGTGAGGCCTCCGATGACGAATGGGAAGAGGAAGTGAAGGGCAAAGAATCAAGTCAGTGTGGGGCTATCAACAGAGAATCCACCTCAGGCTCATTTGACTAATGTTTGTCTAATGTAGGGGATACATAGTCCAAAACAGAAATCCAGCTTTCAGACTTTCAAGGTTAGAGTAGGAATCATAAGTTCTGAGAGTAAAAAGTTTGTTCCTACATCAGTGTTTATGAGTCGTCATGTTCTGTTATTTTAACATCAGAAAACCACCTTCTAAATATTAAATTAATAATATACTTGTATTTCTGTCCTTATATAAAATCCATTAGCCTTTTATGGAACACCACCATCTCTATCGCTCCACATGTCTGAATACATGCCAGACACTGAGCAAAGCTTTCTCTCACTTGTGACAGCCTGAAATTGCTGCCAGCAGATGATACCACTTCCAGAAAGTTATCTGTTCTTCAATAAAGGACCACATGCTTCTGTCATGCAGCTCTCCCCTACCACCTCACAGCTACCACAGCCCTGGCAATACAAAAGCATTCACCAAGAGCAAACTTGAATTTATTTTTTTTTTTCCTGTCTGTTTGAAGGGCTGTACCAACTTCAAACCAAAAGCATTCTGCCAACATGCCAGGTAAGCTTTTATAATAGC